TGGTCCTAAATTGGAGGTTGTAAAGTTTTTATAGGTTTTAATATGAGGTAGGATGAGTCTTAAGTTTTTGATAACCCAGTCGAAGATTTGATTAAAAATTTTTCTAATCTGGTCCTATAAACAGCAACAACAATAGGAGAGCGAGGGGAGGTGACCAAAGAAAAAACCAAACAGAAACCAAGAAAAAAAAGGGTGTGAGCGAAAGAAAATTTGAAAAAATGGGACATGAGTTTCCTGGAGGAACTTATCCAAGTTGAAGAAATCGCTCTTTTTTATTCTTTTGCTAACCAAAACAACCCTCTTTTTTCCTTCTATTTACCATCTTTGCCACTGCCACCACCACCAACATCGTCACATCATCAACACTTACATTTTCTACCATCATCTCGCACTGATTCCTTTAATTACTCGCCTCCAAGAGAACTCTCCCAGATAACCGTCGATTTTGGTGGGGCCCTGAATTCCAATGGCATTTTTGCTAAATGCGTTACTCTTTCGACTCATGTGCAACTAGTTCACGATTCTGAAAACGTTAAGAATCTCGAGATTGAGTGCTTAAAGAAGGAGTTGGGACATGTTTCAAAGCAGCAAGAGGACCTGGAACGAGAGTGTTCACAACTTAAGAAGGAAAGAAACAAGGAGGATCAGCTTGCATTTGTGGATTCAAAGAATAAGGTGAACGTTGCTAATTTTCATGAGTCGAAGATTGTAAACTTAGAACATGGAATCCCTGTTGCAGCTCATCATGAGGTTATCCAAGAATTTCCAAATGCAAAAGCTTTTGATGATCAAGTTGGCTTGAACACAGCCAAGTCAAGTTGTAAGGAAATTGGAGTTCAGACAGATCTAAATGCTTGTCTTGATCTTTCTAAGAAGTTGCATGGCATCTGGGATTTGCCAAGTGACCAAAAGTGTAGAAAAAATTTGATTGCCAAGTTGTTTGTAGTTTGTTCCATAAATATTGACGTCCTGTTTGGGTTCATTAATATGAGCTCACCTTCCAAAACAATGGAACCACTGGTATTCAAGAGCTTTTTCGATAAGGCTTTACAGAGCTCTGTGTATCCTGTTCTTAGTTATGAAGCCGTAAAAGTATCTTGTTTCTACTCTTTTATGACTAAGATCAGAAGTGGAATGTTGCGATTGCAGACTCTATTTGAGTCGTTGTTTGATCTCTGTAGTGTTAAAAATGCAATTATTGCTTATAGTCACTCCATATACTACATGTCTTGCTGAAACATCTTTTGACTTTTGAAAAGAATCCCGAAGCAAGTAATAAAAAACTAGCACAAAGATTACAGAGGGAGGGGGCTCTCGGATTACACTAAAAAATACACAGCAGCACAAAGAAAAAAGACACACGAAAGAAATCATAGAAATCAGATTTATTCTTCATTCGAGTGCCATTCCGATCTCGACTTCTCTGGTGCACCGATAAGAGACAAGCCTCGTGTTGGGTTGACACGACGGGTGACGACATTGTTGTTTTATGTTGGAAGAGAAATAGGTGGCAGGAGTTTATTGTCTCTGATATTTCATTTTTCTCCTGACTTCGTGTGCCAGCTTAGCATTAAAGCTCACTGCAACTGTAGTAACATCGGTGTCGCGTAAATAGTTACTATTTCATGATCGAACGATCTCGCTTCGAATTTACCCTTCTCGACGGTGGTTGCTACTCAGGCAACTGCCATCGATGTCTCTTTCGCTGATAAGGTGGTGGTTGTAAAAAGTTGTATTGACAACTGTAGCATACAGATTGGAGGGCTTCAATGATGTTCTTGCTGGTTGCATAAGTGGTTCTGAGAAGTTGGTTACTAAAATTCGTACTTTGCATCATATTTTGAGAGGTACTTTCAACCCAAATGCTGCGTATCTTATCATCAGAGGCATGAAAACACTGCATCTCATGTACAGTAACGAATTTGATAGCATTAAGGATGGCCAAAGTTTTAGAGGCACATTCTAAAGTGAAACGTGTCTATTATCTAAGCTTGTCAAGTCATCCTGAATATGGAATTGCCAAGCAGCAAATGACAGGCTTTGGTGGTGTGGTCAGTTTTGAGGTGGATGAAGATTTGATGACCACCATCAAATTTGTTGATGCATTGAAGATACCAGGGATGGCGATCAAGCTTGTCCCCGACGAATTTCGGCCCAACCCGATCCTATAAGGTCGAGTTTTTTTTTTTTGAATTTTGAGTTTCGGGTCGGGTAAAATTAGGTAACAATCGGAGTCGGGTCGGGTTCGAGTATGCCTAAAACCCGACCCTACCCTACCCGACCCGATATTATTAAAAAATTATTTTTTAATTAATTAATTATTTATTTATTTATATATATTTATATAATGATATTTTTAAATATTTATATTTAAAAAATAATATTTTATTAATTTCGGATCGGATCGGTACGATTTACATATTATCGGGTCGGATCGGATTCGGGTATTAAAAAAATCGGGTCGGGGTGGGGGTCGGGTTTGATAAAGCATAAAATCGGGGCGAGCAAAACCCGTCCCGAACCCGACTCGATGCCATCCCTAGAAGATACCATACATTACTCCATCCTTCGATGGTTGTACAGCATTGCGGATCAACCAATTGTAATGTCCTATTGTCTTTGTCTCTGAGCCGAATTATTAAATCACTTTTTACATCTTAAGCCATCCTTTGTGCCTGGAGCCATGTCGAATTCCTCAAGCCGAGCTATTCTTTTTTTTGATATTTTATTCATTTGTTTATTTATTTATTTGATTTTTATGTGTTAGTTATTTTTATGAGTATTTTTTTTTACAAAAAAATAAAAATTTTCAAAAAGAAATATTTTTGAGAAAAAGTTGAAAGTATTAATTTTCGTTGAAAATAAAAATTTTTTTAAAAAAATATTTTTGAGGAAAAGTTGAAAGTATCAATTTTTCTTGAAAATAAATTTTCTAAAAAAAATATTTTCGAGGAGAAGTTAAAAGTATCAATTTTCCTTAAAAATAAGTTTTCAAAAATGAATTTTTGAGAAAAAGTTAAAAGTATAAATTTTCCTTAAAAATAAGTTTTCAAAAATGAATTTTTGAGGAAAAGTTGAAAGTATCAATTTTTCCTGTATAAAAGCAATCATTTTTTTCTTCTTTTTTCATTTTTATTTTCTTGAAATTTTTTTAATATTAAATAATTCGACGATGAAGACTCTACAAGTGAAATAGTAGTTTTCTTGCATACTCTTAAGGTGAGGGAATTTTTTCAATTTTTTGCTAAAAGTATTAGAGTCAATTGAAGATAATTTTTAATAATTAATTATTTGGTAAATTTTTTAGGCTTATTGAATAACATAAAATTAAGTTGATACCATATTTCGATGGGCGTTGTGAGGGTACTATAACCTTCCTCACACGTAACCGAACTCTCGAACCCTGTTCTGGTTAGTAGATCCGAACCTATTTTTTTAGGAATCTTTAAACTTAGGTGTTCCCTGAAATGATAGATTCTTTAGGTGATCAATCACATCTAGATAAAAAAGATTAGTAGCGACTCCTTCAAGTCAATGTCTAACGATAAATCTTCGGATCTAGATGATATGATAATATCAATAAATTACCACGGAAGTCAATCGGTGCCCATGTGTAAAAAAGTTAAACGTACTTTACATGATGTTGAATGTATTTTGTAAGGTAATGGTAGTAAATTTAGAATTTAGGAATCAGATTTCTAGAAATAATTAGCATTAAGATGATGAAAAAAAAAAAAAAAAAAAACAGAATATACTTTAGAAGGTCTGAAACAAATAGCTAGGGTTCCTGAAGGATGCATGCAGCCATTAATGTAAGAAGAAGGTTTTCAGCCTTGGTCTTAAAAAAACCATGAAATAACAACGTACCTGATCAAGAAGCTGTCTGAAATTTCTGATCCAATAATGCTACAAAAACTTGGACAGTTTTACTTCTGTTAGAAGTAAAACCAAGCAAGAGTGGCCTGCCTGTGTCTGGGTATGAAAGTTTCCTTCTTTTATAAGCCAAACCCAAGAAGTAAATATTTTTTATTTGCCAAATTAACATCTTCATTAATCCACATGGGAACAGAAAGAAATTTATGGTCGATGGAGCATGTATTTGACTTTGGGCTTTCTTCCTTAAATGCAAACCCTTTCTCACATGTAAGAGGAGAGAGTAAAATGGCAACTACCACGTGGGAAACGAACAAAGGTGATTAAAATCACGATGTTTAGCAAAGTTTATGTTTAACACAGTAAATTTTTGGGCATGAAAATCACATCAATTTACACTCCTTCCTGGATATCAGAGGGGAGCCAGCCCGTCTCCAGTTGCATTGATAATTTTAAGAAGAATTTCCAGTACCGTGAGTTAAACCTTTTATGTGAGTTAGAAACTATAAGACTTGTGCTACCACGCCATCAAGAAAATCTTTATGAAAAATTAAAAAAAAAAAAATGTGTACGGTTCGTCGATTAAAAAAATAAAATTTATATAATTTTAAATTATAATTAGGTAATTGGATTATATTTAATAAATTCATTTCATGTGTCTATCCTAAAAATTATGTGATGAACTCATGTTTTATTTGTAAATAGATTTGATAATTTGTGTATTTGTATATATAAAATATTAAAATTTATATATTTATATTATGTTTTATATAAAAATTATATTTTAGAATCATGTTGATATAAAAAAATAAAAATATATTTTTATTTTATTAAATTTATATATAATTATTATTAAAATTTACTTTGATATATATTTTTACATTATATATGTATTATATTAACGTGATGTTTTAAATTGCTAAATCCACTGAAAAAAAAAAAAAAAACCCGTTGGGCCATATTTTTCTCAAGGTGAAACACATGAATGAATTAAAAGTCAGAGAAATACAAAATTCTTTATTTGACTTATACTACACTCATAATGATATATCAACCTCGTTACAAGGAAAAGTCCTATCATATATGCGCATTACTAATGCATATATTTAGATTTTTCTTTTTTTAAGTATCGTTAACCTTCTCGACCTTTGCGGCCACCACCATTGATGCCACTACTACTTCTTGTCCTTGAAAGAGGATCATGGCCACGATTCGCTGTCGGTTCACTGTAATCCTCGATGCTTGCCATTAGAGACCTTCCTTCCGCAGCCAATACAATCTCCTCCCCTGTAATATAAACCATGCAAACATATTTTCTCCATAACAAATGTAGAAATTAGAATTGCCATCAACTTCACTCTCTACATTTCAACTCCAATGCTTGCTTCATTAAATTACTTTTGTTACCAATTTTGTTTGTGCATAATCACTAACATGCAATCTTTAATTATAAACTTTTTTTTAAATAATTAAATATATGATATAACAGGAGAATTTACAAAAAACGAAATTTACATTGGTCGGAAAATGATTCAATTAATCTCAATGCACAAAAATAAGATTCATTTAATAATGTAATGGAAGGATTTTTATTATTCTACAATTACATTTTATGATTGAACTTTTAATCCGATTAAATAAAAAAAAATAAAAGATTACATCTTAGATCTTATAAATACTAATATTTGCATCTTTTCACATGTCCATTCAACCAAAACCAATATTTATTAACTCCGGTGTGTATGGTCAACCAAGTAAAGATTTTGTTAAAAACTATATAATGATCATGAAAAACATAAAAAAATATACCTTGAGAGCACAAATTCAGCTTAAAAATACAAAAACATGGCAGCATGAATTTGTCTTAATAAACATGACTTGGTAATTACTACAATGGAATCCATAGTTCAAATTTTAATCCATTTAAAAAATGGAAATCTATATTTGCAGACAAACAAGGTTGTCTTGTCTCTTGCGAATTCACTTCTATATATATGGGAACAAAGACATCGATATGCGATCATGTTCGCAGAAACCAACTGGCTTGTTTCACGCACTACAACCATTTTTACACAAATCATAGACATCCTACGGTGCTTAGACTTACTGAAACCCTTTTTCTTGCCTTTTTTTTTTTTCCTTCGTTTCTTATCTTTTCAATCATATATAATTTCTTTGTTTCTAAGAAACAGAATAAAAATTATTTTCATGCATGCAACATGAAAATAAAAAGAAAATACATGTATTAAAATTAAATTTAAATTTATCGAATATTATCAATGATAGTATGAATTAATTGAATTAAATTTTAAATTTAATTATTTTTAAATTTTCTTACAATGTTACTCAAACAATGAAATAAATGAATGTAAGAAAAGTAGCATGTGAAATGGAAGTGAAGAAAGGTAGAGCAACGTACCTGAAACTGAAATGGTGTTACGAGCTGAGGAAACTATGACCAACGTAAATAAAAAGGAGAACCACAGCTTTACTCCAAAACCCATATTCTCTAGTTTTATTTTCTTTGGCCTTTCAATATTTCCGATTTACCTTTATTGGGAAGCCCTATTTATAGACAGAAAGTTTCAACGTGGCGAATGGTGGTTGGAGATTGCGAGTTGACGTTTTGCATATCGTGGATGCCACGTTCAACTCACGAAGTAATTGTTACTTGACTGAATCTGAGCCGTTAATACTAATAAGAATTTAATCAACGTGGTTGCTGTCGCTTCCTTTACCAGAAAAGGAAAAAAAATGGAACAAAAAAAAATACTTTTTCTATTCTAAAGTCGTAATCATTTTTGATACGCTCTACGCCATCATACGGTGGATTCTAAAGCCACCTTGATGTTACAGCTTTTTGCAAGCTATTGTATTTTTCCAAATTTAGGTTTGAAAACAGTGTCAATTAGTAAAAATTATGATTTTTTTTACATAAATAATCGTAATTTCAAGATAAAAAAAATTACAAATACTATATCTTGAAAATAATTGCACAAAATAATCAAATTATAAGCTTCGAATTTAAATTGTGAAGTTTTTTACTCGTAAATTAATCATCAAATAATAATGGATGTTAGTGCTGAAAATTATAAATGAATAATGTCAAGCTAATAATAATTTTCTCTCCACTCCCAAAATTATATATATCCATCGAATTCAAAGTTCAAACCATCAAAGCAGTGATTTGATAACATATATAGTAGTAGTCAAGAGTGGTGATAATCAATAATGTTAAATACATTTCACCCCTGCTCTGTTCTGAAACGCCCAAGGATTGGACCATAACTTTAAAGATTTTTATCGTCAAGGCCATCTCTCACATTGCTGCTTCAAGATTCAAAAGAAACAAAGGAATTACACCATGAAGTTGTGCTTCTTGTTTTCGATTGAAGATGAAAAATATTAATAGTCGGTCTACAAATGTCATCAAGGTTGAAGAGCTCAAAAAATTATATTTCATGTTTTCGAATTAACATAAATTATAAAATATATTTTTATATATAAAATATAATATAAATACATAAATTTTAATATTTTACTAAATACCAATTGTACGCATTATACTTCTATACATTGGTCAAAAAATCAAGGAAGATTTCTCTCCACTTGCAAGCAAATCTTTTCAGACTAGTGGCAGTGATGGCACCATGGAAATGTAATAAAGCCACTGGAGCTAGACTTGATATATCTGCTGACATTTGGTGTGTGAAAACCATGATCAGCCACTCCAATCACTTAACAGCACAAAGTTTTCCAGTAATAACTCTAATGCTGAAACTTGGATTCCTCCACCTTTACCTAAATAGTTTTACATTTTGTATAAGAAAGACAAATATGATCCATGGAGAGAAAGAACCCAGAATGAAAATCTAATTCCAAATTGAATACAAATACAATGACAAATACAGTAGAAACATCTCTCAACTTTTGCTGTAGTCACTGGTCATAATCACAAAATAAACAAAGAATAGAAACCAGAGTATCCAGAAAGGTAGCTGCTCACTTAAGCATCGATAAACAAGATAAAAGGAGGATGCAGACTGAAAATAACACTAGGGTAAAGCCACCACTCAAGTATGGTGTCATTTCGAAGACTAACTAAGTCAATATTTCTTTGTGTTCCGTTCATAAGACTAATTTTAACACTTGGAAAGTTAATAGAAATTGAATTCCCCTGTATTCTGTCCAAAAGACAAACTTCATCACCTTTGAAGTCACTAAAATTAAAGTACTAGACAGGTTGAAGAACGCAAAGAACCCTAGAAATTCCATGAAGTTGTAAAATGATGGCAAGGGAACTTACAAGTATAGATATAATGATCCCAACAGCTATAAATTAAGGTTTTCAACTTAAAAGGCTAAAGGTTCAAATCTTGAGAAAAATGGTGAGACTCAATGGAATAAGAGAGAGCTATTTCACATTGTGTAAACCAAGATCCAGTAGGACTTCACATGACCAAAAACATAGGCATAAACGTAGACTAAATCATTCAATTAACATATAGATGCAAGACTAAATAGACAAAATAGCATATTAAATCATTCTATTAACAATTAAAAACAACATTTCAGAATTCATTAATTAAAGAAACAAATCACAAACATAATAAAATTTGTTCATATTTGATTTATTCACAAATATAATAAACAGATAACACATCTACCTTGAAACGAGCCTAAGTTGCATTCATCACAAACCCGAACAGCGTGCAAGGACGAAGGTAGGAGTCACAGATTACACACTTGCCATCACACTTCTCACACAGTCGTCCTATTGCAATGCCTGGCAGCTTCCGGCACATGATTAAATCGGGATGGTCCTTGGCCATGACTGCTGCAACTCGTTCCTAGTTGTTCTAGTAAATGAAACAGAAGGCATGCAAAATTCAAAGAGAACCCAAGATCAAAAAATCAAAGACAGAACTTAATAAACCCAACATCAATTTTTTTTCCTTTTACAGAACGAGCATTGAGAAAAAAAGAACCCAAAAATCTCCTTATTTGTTTAAAAAAAAAAAAAACCACGAGGAAACTACAAACTTGGACCAAAAATTATTAACAGAAACCGAAGCCGAGGACAATGAGTTAACGAAGAAAGGACAGAGAGAGTTCAAATAAAGAATGGCATGTGGGCTTTGATTTGGGCCATGTTGACGATTGTTTTAAAAGCTTTGGGTTTTTACGCCTAAAACAATGTTGCTGGGCTTTTTCTTTAAGTTAATATATATATTTTTTAAAAAACTAATAACTAAGAGGATAAAGTCATGCTGATCCGGTCTACTGACTAAGGAACAAGAATAGCAGCTCAATCCGTTTTTGATAAATTTTGATTGAATTTTATTTTTAAATTTTTTTAAAAGAAATTTAATTTTAAATTAAATTAAATAATAATAAATAAAATTAGAGTTGAATTTTAAATAAATTCATTCTACTCAATTTTTTATGTATATATAAATTATTTTTAATTATTTATTTAATTATTTTTTTATATATTTAATTTTATATTTATATTTAAAAAATAATATTTTATTAATTTTAAATATGATCAGATATAATTTTAATATTAAATTAAATCGAATCAAATTCAAGATAAATAAAAATCCATTTTAATCAAATTTGTTGTCATCCATATCAAGAAAATTTTATAAGAATATAAAAAATCTTAATTTTGAGCCAAAAACTCTTCCTTTTTTTTTTTTTAAGGGTTATGCTCTTCTTTGAATAAATAACAATAATAATAATAATAAGTCATTGGAGATTTTCTTTATTTCAGTTTAATATAAGATCAATTTATTATTTTATCATGATTAATAATGATATCTAGTATGCTCGATTCTTTCATGTACTAAGACACTTACATGTAGTTTCATTTGACAGTCTTGTTAACATAGTTCATTTATTTATGAATTGGAGTTTAATTTTTGTAAAAAATATTTTGAATAAGAAATTTATTTTTTAAAATCGTTAAAAAAAATAAATTAATACCTTAATCTAAGTTAAAAAAAATTTATATCCCAACGATAATTTATCTCATCAACGTTGAACTAAATAGTGGATCCAGGTCCGTGAAGCTTCATGTGTAACAAATAGAAGGCTATCATAAAGGGAAGATTATTGAAGCTTTTTATTAGGTGGGATTCATGTTAGTATCCGTATGATATATATATATATATATATGGAAATTTTTCTTACAAAAAAATTTGATTTCAAATTTATCAAATTTATTTTTTTTCAGATAAAAGAAAATTTGAATTCAAATCTAATATGTTATATAAAAATAAGAGGTAAAGCATCAACAAATCTAATTTTGTTGGTTTATATTTCAATTTTTACAAAAAAAAAAAAACTCTTTGTATAGTGTTTGCATTTACAAAAATAATAATAATAAAAAAGAAAATTTCTTACTTTAGTAACAATTAATTAAAAGATATTTTCTTGAATTTTTTTTTGAGCTGAATGCTTATGTAATTTTCTTTTTTTTTTTTAACAAAGATAATAGATAGCAGTTATCCATAAAATCTCATCAATATGTAGTTTTGAAAGTTAGAAAAGGCTTATATAAAGTTTTATAAATGAAATTAGTAAAATTTTTTATTATAAATGAATAAATAAAAACTAAAAAATTAAAAGATCTCATCATATAAATTAATTGTGTAAAATTTTAATAAATTTTGATCTATTTATTAAATAGACACTTTTAGTAAAAATATTGATTAAATTTTTACTGTTAAATAAATATCAATTAAATTTAAATTATAAATAATTTTTTAATAATTTTTTTTACATATTTTTTATATTCACATTGAATTATATTATTGGTTTGAATTTTTTATTAAAATTTTTATTTATTCATTTTTAATAAAAAAATTTTACGAATTTCAACTTTATATAAGTTTTATTTTCCAAAATTATACTTTTAAATGATAAAGCCTCGATTATATATCACTATATTCATGTCCCTAAATCTTGAAAATTACTACAATTTTCTTTCAAACATTGATTTAATTTTGCCTAGGATAACTAATATTTTAGTTAATTTTAAAAGATAATATTTAATAAATATAAAAGATCTTTTTTTTTCTAAGTTATGATCTCTTTCAAAAAAAAAAAAAGAGTCTACTTGGGTCCGCATATTATTCAAAACGAATTTGCTTTCCCAGTTCTCAACATGACTTTCATGGTTTCTCTCCTTTAACATAGCATAAATCCAAACCAAAACTCACAACAAGATGCCCCACTTGTTTCCTTGCTAATCAAATTGAAAAGTGATCAGCTTCTACAGGGTGAAATATATGAGTATTTGTCTGAACTACTCCTATTTCTTTCTATCTGTTCAACAAATAAGATAGATATTTTCTTAACTGTCCCTTTGACTAGGTTTTTGTTGCAAGAATATGGAAGGCACCTCGCAAGAATAGCTACAACCTTGTTAACCTTGTTTGAAGTTATGGCGAAGAATCTCAATCTGAATCCTAAACAATCCGAGTCTAAGTTATCAGAATCAACTAGATTCATACGCGTTTACCAGCATTCTGGCTCCATGGCTGATGATCAGGCTTGGGGCATGACCATGATCGCACACACAGATAGCTCAGTGCTTTCCCTAGTGAGCCAAGATCAAATTGGAGGACTTGAAATTTTAAAAGACAATTATGAATGGCTCCTGGTTAATCCAATTCCAAACACACTTGTAGTCCATATTGATGACATGATTGAGCTCTATAAAATCTTAATTGAATTTTTTAGTTTCTTTTCAACTTTAAATCCAAAAGATTTTATTATTTGAGCTATTATTATTTTAAGCTTCTTAGTACAAGTTTTGTTTCTAATTAATAACGATCTAAACACAAAAGGAAAGTGTTCAAAATTGAAAATAAAATGTGGGTTCCTACCAATTTTTTTCCTTCAAAATTTGGATGAATGAATAGAAAGGTTTTAAATTTTTTTTTTAATTCCATAAACTTCTATAGACTCACAAGAATTGGAAGGAAAATGATCACCAAGAAAACGTAGTACTTTAGTTTTAAAGGTATGCATTTGGAATAAGCTTTTTGTACTCGCACAATTCCCCTTGTTTTTGCAAGGTAAGTTATGCATGTTGCATAACCAAATTTATCAAATAGAAAAAAAAATTTTGAATAAATGAATAAATCACGGGAACTCTAAATATCAAATTTTATAAATAAAATTTTAAATTTTAAATTTATTAAATATTATTTTTTTATAATACTTACATAAATCAACAAAATTAAATTATGAGTTCTAATAATATATGAAAACTATATGATCAAATTAAAGATAATTAAATAATATTAATTTCTTGTTAAGTAAAGATATTGGTAATTATACTCAGGATTTTACCTCATGAATTTCATAGTTTACCATAGATCAATCTTTTTCTATTTAAGAAATTACTCAACAGAAAGGGTAAAAAAACTGCTTTATATTCAGACCGTACAAAATAATAATCACATAGCTTTAGAAAGCTCCAACCTTTTAACATACAGGGTAAAAAATTAAAGTAATTTTAAATTATAAATTAAAATTAATTTTCATAAGATGAGACGACAGACAAAATCTTCGTTTTTGTACAATGTAAAACAGGGAATAACAAATCACAGCCGTTGCTGGATGGGTCCTACTTGATGGACGGGTAATATTGCATGCAAAAGAAGGTTTAGTTTCTAAGAAACAAGAAGGGAGTAATACAGTATAAAGAGCTGTTTCTTGGTGAGAAAGTATCGATAGAAGAGAAAGAAAAAAATAACTATTGTGAGAAGGAGTCGAAGGAAGCTGTTATTTTTATTGCGATTTTCTTTTTTTTTTTTTTTTTTCTCTCTCTATATTGCTCTCTTGGCACCGCTTGATAACGTACTTCAGTTAAACGGGTATCAATTTTTCACTTTTGGGGGCTCTCCAATGGCGGTGGTTGGTGTTGTAGAAGACAAAGGCACTGTTTTGAGGAAAAGGAAACGTAAGAAAATGTGTGAAAAGAAGAAACTTGATGTTAATGAAAAAGTTGAGGTAATGTGGTTATTGCCGATTGGTTTTTTATGAGTTTTTCTTTAATTATGCTTTTTTTGGTGGGTTTCTCTCTTGTTGGTTTTTTTGGATTTCAGGTTCTGGGTTGAAATTTCCTTGGGTCTTATTTTCTTAATATGGGTATTTTTTATTTTTTATTATTATTTTTTTTTTAGAACTGGGTATTATTTATTTATTTTGGTTTTGCTTATGGCTGAAAGTTTCCCATCCTGTTAATCAGTGTAATTAGAGCTACATTGCTTTATCCCTTTAGTAATGCGCATACATGCCTGGTTTGGTGTCTATTTAGTAGCCATGCAATGTTAAATTAGAAGTTTTTTCAAAATTTCGAGTCATTGGTTGATCACTTACTTTTTTAAAATATGAATATTTGATGGATTTGAAGTTTTAGTTCTTTGCATATAAAAGTTGAAATTTTGTAGGTAAGGAGTGTGGAAGAGGGCTTTCAGGGTTCATGGCATCAAGGAACTGTTATTGCATGGGATACGCAAGGGTGTCACGTCAAGTATGATCATCTTCTTGTTGATGATTGTTCTGATAATCTCGTTGACATTGTGGGTGTTTCACCTGTTATAGATGGTATTGGTTGTCCCTGTGAGAATCATTGTAACTATCGGGGGTCTATAAGGCAATTGCCACCTAAACTAGAGTTTAGCAAATGGAATCTTTGCTATGGACTTTGCGTGGATGTATGTTATAACGAGGCTTGGTGGGAAGGTGTGATTTTTGACCATGAAGATGGTTCAGAGAAGAGGAGAGTTTTCTTCCCTGATTTGGGTGATGAAATGATTGCTGATATTGGCAACTTACGGATTACTCAAGATTGGGATGACTTTGAAGAGGACTGGCACCAACGTGGAACCTGGTTGTTTCTTCAGTTGATTGAACAATATGAGCAAGAGTGGTACATTTCTGTTTCTGTGAAGCAACTATGGTATGATTTACGGGAGAAGAAGGGTTTTCAAAATGTTAGAGAGTGGACTTTTTCTTGTTTTTCTTTGTGGAAAGAATTGGTGCTGGAGGTAATAAAAGATAACCATGAAATCACTGTGAATCATTTTATCAGGGTATTAGGCCTTCCTGGGTCCTCCCAACCAGAATCCAAGTCACAACTGGAGCCTTCTATACCAGATGCAGATGTTAATATGAGTTCTGATGCAGATTTAGCTGACACTGTTGCTCTTGTACCAGTTGAGAATCCAATAAACAGTACTTCGTTGAGTCCAAACTCAGCTAGCTTTCAGTCAGTTCCAGAGAAATCTACTCTGGGTCAGTTGATGCATATCTCAAAGGATGATATCAATATTTTGGCCGAATGCAATGGGTCCTGTCTTGATCAAGCGGTCTGTGTTTTACCTGATGCTTTGTTGGTCTCACCTTCTGTTGCAAATGGAATTTCCTGCATCAGTTCTGTTACTAGCAATGAAGGATTTTCCAGAACTGATACAGATAAGGCCGAAAGGAGGGCCAGACATTCAAGACTTGATGCAACTGCAACATGGATGACTGCTGGCCCTGACCTTGTTTCTAAAGCTGAATCATGCCCCAATGCCATTAACAAATATGCTCTTGCTGCTAAGAAAAATGACAATGCTCTGATAACTGATGTTAGGAAGCATCTTCTATATCAGGGATGGAAAATTGAGTCTAAGCGAGACAAACATATTGTCCGATTCCGATACATCTCACCTACTGGGGATTGTTATTACTCTCTTTACAAGCTCTGTTTAGATTTGACGAATCACTCCAGGAAGCTTATTTGTTCAAACACCAAAGATGTACATGTTGAACCAAACGCCAAAGATCAATATGTTGAACCAGAATATTGCCCTCAAGCTGTTTTGGACTGGTCTAAGGTTGAATTGGATGAGATTCGTAAGTGCCATTCTAGGAGAAGTGATATGACACTAAAGGCAAAAAAGCATCTCTCATGGCTGGGTTGGTCGTTTCACTATGCAAGCAGCAATGGAAGGCGCTATTTGTGCTACACTTCACCAAGAGGAAGGACATACCACTCACTTCGAGAAGCCTGCAAAATCTGTATAAAAGAAGGTGGAGTTTCTGAAGATAATGCTTCTCCATCTAGATCTATGGAGAAAATTAATGTTGTTGGGGAGGCTGATGGTCAGCTAGCAATTGAGAAGCTTTCTTCTGCACTTTCTAATATGGATATCCAGAGAAGGTCGGTGCCATCAAATGCTGAATCTGAAAATTGGTGCGGAAAGTCCTATTCGAAATTGGAGACAAGAAATCTTGTTGAGCAAAGTAGAGTAGGTCAAAGAACTCGAAATCCTAAAAGGAAGAGAAAGTATAATTTATCATATATTGTGTCTGACTTGGTTAAAAGGCAAGCTGACTTACCCATTACAAACGCTTGCACCGCAAGATTGAAAAGTGGAAAGTCACCTGCCGCATTGATCAAATTAAGGGAGAATCTCAAAGGTACTCAACATAAACATGTATTACGATCAACCAAAAGAGTGCAGCAGGTTGTAACTCCTAGTCCATTACATCAGAATCCACGAACTGTGTTGTCTTGGTTGATAGATAACAATGTTATTTTGCCAAGGTCGAAAGTACATTGCTGGAGGAAGGAGAAGGTTGAAAGTTGAAGGGAGGATAACTCGTGATGGAATTAAGTGCAATTGTTGTGACAAGGTATACACCCTTCGTGGGTTTGTAGCACATGCTGGCAGCAGTAACCACAGACCAGCTGCCGAGATCTTCTTGGAAGAGGGCAGGTCTCTGTTAGACTGCCAGCTGCAAATGATACAAAATAATAAGATGAAGAAGTTTGAAAAAAAGCGGAGTAGCCGGTTGAGGAGCAATAGCCGAAAAGACAAGAACGACAACATTTGTTCTGTTTGTCATTATGGGGGTGAATTAATTTTATGCGATCAATGCCCATCCTCATTCCATAAAAGTTGCCTTGGTTTAGAGGTATCTCTTTTGTTTTATTATCAGTTCATTCTGATTGAGAAGTACTACTATTCCATTTTCTTAAAACCTATAGATCTTTGATTTCTTCTGTTGGAATTTTGTCTGTCATAGAGTGTTCCAGATGGTGACTGGTTCTGTCCATCATGTTGTTGTGGAATTTGTGGTCAAAGCAAGCCTAAAGAAGATGGTGCAAATATTGTGGATGACAGAGTTCTCATTTGTGCTCAGTGTGAGCATAAATGTAGGTTACTTTTCACCATTTGCTGACAGATCAAAAGCACATTTGGATAGTTTCTTATGCCTTTTTTTTTGTGTTTTTGATGCAGATCATGTTGGGTGCATACACTGTAGAGGGGCAGATAGGTTGATAATATGTTCAAAAGATAATTGGTTTTGCAGCAAAAAGTGTGAAGAGGTACTTCCATTCAGCTTTATTTTTGTAATTTTGTTGTCCATCAACAAGTTATAGCTACTGCTGACTTATTTCTACCCTTTTACTTTGGGCATAAGTAGTTTTGCATCTTCAATCCTCTCTTAACTATTTAAGTGCTTCACAATGGAAAGCTAGTAAAATTTTCATTTTTCTTTCTTGATTTAGCTAGTATGACCTCTTTTAATTCTTTTTATATGCATATTTAGAATTCAAGTCGTGAAGTGCTCGCAATGGCAAGGAACTGACTTTTGCAGTAAAAGTTCTTACAATGTCATCTAAGTGATGAACCGATAATTTGTTGGGGGGTGCTTCTGCAATTTAGAAAATTTATCTGCAGAGATTATTTGAATTGCATGCAGCTGAGAATAACAGCTAATTCTTGCCTTCATTAACTAGTCACTAATAATTTTGGTAGGATTAGATCATAAATGTTATGTCATACCCACCTCTTTGCACTAGCAGCCTAACTTAAAAGTTTGTAGTGCATGAGCAGTGTAATAGCATACGGATGATAGTACATCTTGGAAATGTTGCTTATAGTTGTGGCTTTGCTGCAGATATTTTTGGGCCTTCATGAGCTTTTAGGGAGACCAATTCCTGTCGGAACAGACAATCTAACATGGACACTAATAAAATACATGCAGCTGGATACCCATGATCTTGATGCTTCGGATAATGAAGCCATGGTTGAGAGTTACAGCAGACTTAGCATTGCACTTGCTGTCATGCATGAGTGTTTTGAGCCTGTCAAAGAACCTCACACTGGCAGAGATCTTGTTGCAGATATTATATTCAGTAGAAGGTGGGTAATTCTTATTTTTCTCATGTCATCTTCATAACTTTAGTATTTATCGGGCATTGGGCTGGTTACTCTTCTGCAAATCATAGCTGCGAACTGTGGATTCATTTGCAAGTATCAAACATTTTGATGAATGCCACTATTGCAGTCCCTAAAGCATTTTAGTCTGATTTATCTACTTTGTGTGATTTATCTTGATAATCTGGCCAACCTTATCTTGGACTGAACTTTCTTTCTGAACCCGTTTGGATTGGCTAAAATTTTAAGATTACTATTAAATTACCCGAATTACTCCTCCTTATAGTTAATCTAGTAGCCTATTGAGGTTTATGCCACTAGGCTATTGGGCCATGATAATTACTGTTGATACTTGAGCTTCATAATCTTCTGTTGCTGCTACTTGTTAGTGATGATTTATTTGAATTTTGTGTGTTTAATATAAGAAAATGGCTTAAAGTTTGATTGCTGTGGTTTTGGATTTTGCAGCTCAGAACTTAACCGCCTAAACTTCCAAGGCTTCTACACAATACTTCTGGAAAGACATGATGAACTCATTACCGTTGCTAATGTTAGGTAAGCTTCCCTAATTAACTGTAGTGAGCTGTGTAGGACTACAGGAACTCATTACTGTTGTTAATGATAGGTAAGATTCTCTAATTAACTGTAGTGAGCTGTATAGGACTACAGATCTTGGTTAGGCTGTTTTGTATGTTTGCTTTGTTGATAATGGTAGTTTTAATTTCTATTTGCCTATTCAAGGGTCCATGGAGAAAAGGTGGCCGAAATACCTTTTATTGGTACCAGGTTTCAATACCGGCGACTTGGAATGTGTCGCATTTTGATGACTGAGCTTGAAAAGGTTAGTTACATTGTGTTTGTATGGTCTTTTATTGCTAGTGCTTTATGTTCACTATTGGTTAAATTCACATTGGTTAGGGTTCTAAACAATGTTTTACCAACTGAAACAATTGTCAAATTGTAAAATTGAGGGTTAAGGTTTAGAGTTTTGATTAGGTTCAAATGGATAAATGTAATTTCATTATGATCTAATAAATATATTAACAATTCTCAAAATAATTTAATTCTAAGATTTAATAGTAAAGTGTAGCATTTACAAACTTTATGAAGCATATGATATCAAAATTAAAAAATGTTATATGTAGGCTCTGTGGTCTTTCACATTTTATATTGCATCACAATATGTAAAACATTTCAAATTACCACGATGTCTAACTTGATAATTAGGTGCTAATATTTAATTGATTCTTCACAATTTATAGCACTACATGTTTTACAAAGAGACTTAAGGTCTATAGATTATTTCCATGTATTCTTTGGAGATAGCATTCCAAAAGGAAAAAAAAAAAACCATTAAGGGGAATTAAAAGCAGGGGTTACAGAAAAAGATTTCATCTAAATATGTATTGCATGAAATTTTTGGAATTAGATATTATCCAACATTTATTGTGCTTGCATCTGTCAAATTTCTCACCATTGTTTTGCATGATTTCCTCAGAAGCTCATGGAATTAGGAGTACAGAGGCTGATATTACCTGCTGTTCCTAATGTGCTGCACACTTGGACTGCTTCATTTGGATTTTCAAAGATGATGCCCTTTGAGAGATTACAATTTGTAGATTATACATTTTTAGATTTCCAGGGTGCCATCATGTGCCAGAAGGTTTTGTTCAAGAGACCTCTAGTGGAATCAAACCTATCAATTGGTATTGCCAATTCCCTAGCCACCTAGTTCAAGAGTTAATGACTGCAGTGAGTCAAATTCATGTTTTTATTAATATTTTTCAGGCTCCCAGTTTGAACTTCATAGTGATGCATTTGAAAGCAGTGACAATGTTGATGTAGATGGTTCCAGTTCAGTCTCTGAAGTATTCCAAGCAGGACAAGTCGAGGAAAATAGATTTATGGATGAAGGAATACTGGAGTATGTCTCACCTCTTTTTTTACTCTATTTAGAAGAGAAAAAGAATGGTGAAAAAAAAAAAAAAGCTCTAGCTTCACTCTTCCTTAGGATGGTCAAACTCATGATTACTATTGGCTTAGACTTTTAACCAGGTTATACAGATGAAAGGTCTCCAATTTATATATCATCTATTTAAAAATCTTAGTCATTAAATTCAGGTAATTGTGATATGTGGGAAGAAAATATTGTTAGATAATCATCCTTGGGTATTAGAGTTACTTGAAAAAGAGAAAGATTACACAGTCTTTACACCTTTAGAGAGGAATAGATCATAAATGACAACTCTTATCCAGCAAATATCCATTTCTGGTATGCATGTGATACTGTAAAGTTAATATCCATTTTTAGAAATTCAGGTTATACTATATTATATTTATTTTATGCATTTGCTTTTATGCTTGAATCTTCATATTAATGATAATTAAAAGTGTATAGACCATATCTTGTCAATTATGAACTAGTGCATCATGTTGCCATTTCTGTTTGTGTGGATAATTTACCATCATTCTCTCAGTATATCCTCATTAACATTGGCTTGTTGGGTGTAATTGCAAGATGAGGAAAATCCTTACCCATCTGGAAACCCATGACTGAGGCTGAACTGAAGATTGTAGCCACCATTTATCCATCTATTTATTTCTGAGCAGTGCCACTTTTGATATGTCTTTGAAGGTGAATGAAAATTAGTCTAGTGAAATCCTCCAATCCTACTTTAGAAACATCTGGGTTAAAGCATTACTTGTGTCCATTCATATGAGCAACCTCCTTTTTTTTTCTCAAATTGGCATGGTGTTCTATTCTCTGTTCGAACTTGCTGCCTTCAATGCTGCTAAATATGTCATTAACAGCTTTGATTTTTGGCAGGATTGATGCAGGTAGGAGTATTAGTCACAACGAAAACCATGTTCATAATGTGGTTGCGGTACTTTCATTGACTCTGAAGCATTTAGTTATTTCATAAAATGTATTCTTTCATTTTATTTCTCCTTTTGATCCTCATCACCAGATACCTGACCTCTTCTCAATTGCAGGTAAACCAACCAACTCAAATTGACCATGAACAATGTAACAGCGAAGCCAATCCAGAGTGCTCAGTTGAGGGTACCAATTTTAAGGAAAGAAAATGCAGTGATAGTGGTTGTACAAGGTGCAATAAGCGCAGGAGGATTTCTGTCAGTGCAAAGGTGAGGGTATCCAAAGTTTCTGCAATTAGATGAGTGAACTATTTTCCAGGCTGCTCTTTGGAAGAGTTGAGCCAGTTGAAACCTAAATGTCTTTTTGATTCTGTCAACACAAGACCGGCTGCAGAACATCCAAATGTTGCTTCATGGATGTGTAAATTTTCTGTACAGAGTATAAGTGGGACAAAACATCTCAAACTCAGATAAGGTCTATTTTATGTCATTACCTTCTAGGATAAATAACAATGCGGAGCTCTTTTGAGTATCCTTTTGTCCTTATTAACCGTATGGATGTATGATTCATAAACATAACCATATCCATTTCCTTCTTTTTAAAGCGAGAATCTCCTTCTTTCATGTCTGTTTGATGGGTATTTGGACTTTTGGGTGGCAACTATATGAAGGAGAGGCCTCAATTTGTATTACCTCTTTGAGTAGGTGTTTCTAGTTTCCTTGCATATCCACTCTTCATAGCAATTGATCCAACTTTGTGGTCAAATCAACCATGGCCATGTCAAAAATAATATCAATGGATTGTGAACAAGTTACATTTCTTTGAACATTTCCCATTTGGATTTTGTCCATAATCAGGTGGTTCTTGATGGCTAATGCCTATTTCATTTTCTCCTATGACTTTCTGTCCCTGTCATGACAGCCCATTTCCTCTCCCTTCATTAATGATGATGTTAATGTTGTAGAAATCTTGCTATCTTATCCTCAAAATAATTTTGGGAAAGAAAATTTTACCATATATTAGAACATGAAAACTTCTAAAACAAAATTTAAATATTAATTCAGTTATTTCATATAATTATTTTTTAAATATGATATTTAATAATTTAATATTTAAATTTTAATATCTATAATCTTCACACTTTCACCTCATTTATAATAAAAATATATTACTTGCCCTAAGCTATGAGTTTTAGTCAAGTTCTTGTCAATAACTTTTACAAGGAAAAATAGAAAGCTGACTTTTGCCAGCAATTTCTATTTGTGTTGTCTGTGTATGCCAAGGTCATTATCATAAGAGTAAAGGAAACAATTAGATCACATTTCCCCTCATTTATCCTTATAAACTCCATGAATAGAGTTCATGAATTTGCGAAACTAAAGAAATAAATGTCATTATTCAATATTTAAATGGTAAGATAAAGCATGCTAAGGCCCTTAATTGTATAAGCATTCATTTGAATCATCAAATTTTTACTTAATTTAATCAAGCCACTTTACTTGGTAAGGAAAAAACTATTACTGAATATTTCACATTCCCTCTATCTCTTAAAAAGTCATAATTTTGGGATATAAAAAAATTGAGTTAATTAAGAAGTATTTTATATTTTAATTTTGATGGTCCAAAAGTCGTGAATATACTTAATTCATTACAATAGCATAATTTGTTTGAATTCTTAATTTCAATTATCAAATTCATTTTTTAATAATCTCAAAAAATATATTTAATTCAACAATGTTTGCATATGTCTAATTGATATGTAAAAACTAAGTAAAACTACAAATATTTTGCATAGGTGAAATTTAGAATTCCACATACATGCTTGTGTTGCACAAATTTACGGATATACCTTGCTCTACACCTAAACATACATAAAGGTTTAAATTGATTAAAGAAAGAAAAGATCGGAATTCGAACCTAAAAATTTGAATTAAAAATAATTTAAATTAGATACGATTTGAACGTAGAAAAAAAATCTAAACGACGAAATTCAAATTTGAAATAACTTAAAATAGTAATAAGTTAAACTTGAGATATATACAATCCGAAATCCATAAAAATTCAAATTTTAACTTCAAAAAACTAAATTATAATTAATCAAAATAATCCAAATCCAAAATTATTCAAATTTGAGATGTCTCCTAATAATTCAAATTTAAAATAATCTAAGTTTAAATACAAATTGATCCAATCACGCTCAATCGCCACCTATATATATGGGAGAGTAGATATCATAGAATCGAACTTCCTTTCTTAAAAAAAAATGAGCAACATTAACTTGAAATTTCTTTGATAACCTTGATTCCTCCATGATTGCTCAGAGCTGAATTCAACAATATAAATTGAAAGCTTGAGGAGTTTTTATGAAGGTTAGGATTTTTATATGATAGTATAGGGTTTTTCAAAAACAAAACAGATCACTTGTTAAAATCATAACAATTTTAAGAGATATGGGATGAACACCATAAGTTTAGTAACCCTAAAAGTTTCAAGGTATGTATGCACCTTTTAAAACATTTTATTAATATTGGACTAAGTCCAATTGAATTTTATTTGATCGAAACTTAAATTAAATAGTTTTATTATTTTTATTTTATTTTTAAAAATTATATTTAATATACTGTTAATATATATTATTTATTATAAAAAATAACAATGATGAGACATAAATCTTACATCATAAGTTTTAATAAACTAAAAAAAAATTGAATGATGTTCTATTCCTGTGGATGAAGGAAAGCAAGGAACATTTTGCTTTTCCAAAAAAAAAAAATAAAGAAATTGCCTTCATGGATAGAAAGCAGAAAATCTTGCGTTTGTTCAAAGCATTGGTAGCAAATATTCCACTCCTTTTATATTAACTAGATAAACGACAAGAAAAAGTGACGGATTCGATTTTTTTTTATGTGTTTATTTATAATATATAATTATCGATAAATTTATAAATTTCGTTGATAAATAAGATATTTTTGAAAATTTTGATGAATTTATTAATTTTATCAAAAAAATTATAAAATTTTTTATTTTCTAAATTTTAAAAATGTTCAAAAAATACTTTACTTAAAGGATCCATCTCCTTGAAGCATAAAAATAAATATAATAATTTAAAATATAATATCATAATATAACATAAATAACATATAAATATAATATAATTTAAAATTTTAATAATTATTATATAAATTTAATAAAATTAAATATATATTTTTATATTTTTATATCAATATAAATTTTTATACATAATTTTTATTTAAAATATAATATAAATTTTAAAATTTTACATAATATAAATACATAAATAATCGTATTTAAATAGGAATCCACTTTTGTGACCCCAAACATATACAACAAGGCCACACGCCAAGTTGGAGTCTTATGTCGGCCATCCCAATATATGGTGTTCGGCGGTGTTGGCCCCATTCCCCGACCACAAGCCTCTTTCTGGAGTCCTTCTCTTTATTTAGTAAATGCCGTTTTCTTTATTTTCTTTAAGATTTGCAATTTTTTGGCGATTTTTAAGCAAGAAGCCCATGATTTAATCACAACCAAATGACGTGATAACCCAAAAAATTTCGCAAAGAAAAAAGAAGAGAGAGGAATTAGGAAACCCCATGAAATGGGACAAGATAAACTTGCAGGCAAACAGGACTCCCCAATAAGAATTAAGGGAACCTGAGACTCTTTTCAAAGGGTCTTAATCAAACAACACAAATTGAAATCCACCGCCAAGTTGCGAAGGCTCCATTTAAGCTCACGTGAAAGCCTCTCAGGCTCCTCAGCTACCTTCACATGCACCACGCAACAGAACAAAAAGCTCCAGTTTTTTATAACAACTTCAGCAGGAACTAAAACCCCACTTTCTTTTTGTGGCTTTTCGTGTACTGTCATTTCTCTAATTGGACTCTGCAAAATGACCTTTCTTTCTTCTCACCAATCTCCTTCATGTCATCTTTTCAAGTCATGTCTAACCTTTCTTTTTCTAGCCTTGTTTCAATCTGACACAGCTTCTTCAGCTCTGATAATGAGCATGAAGAACCACCACGGCCACCACCAACATAGAAGGCCAATGTTCCAAACAAACCCAAGTACTTGTGCATTGTTTATAGGCACTTGGGTTCGTGATGATAGTTACCCATTGTACCAATATTCTAACTGTCCAATCATAGATGCAGAATTCAACTGCCAAATGTATGGAAGACCCGATTCTGATTACCTCAAATATCGTTGGCAGCCTCTCAATTGTCAGCTCCCAAGGTATCAGAAAACATTGTTCTGCTGCTAGTTTTTCATTTTAATGCAATGCCAGTTCTTCGTTTTTTTTTTTTTTACATTGTGATGATTTTTGTTGTCGTATGTTTATCTCAGGTTCGATGGACTTGTGTTTTTGTCGAAAATGAGAGGGAAAAATGTGATGTTTGTTGGTGATTCCCTTGGAAGGAACCAATGGGAGTCTTTGATTTGTATGATTTCAGCTTCAGCTCCCCAATCACAGACTCAGATGAGCAAAGGAGATCTTCTCTCCACCTTCAAGTTCCTTGTGAGTCTTACGAAACCTTGTTTGTACTTTATTCCAAATTCCTTTATCTCTTAAAAAGTACCTTCAAATAGAAAAAGAAAGTTATTGTATGCTGGTGGAAGGCTGGAAGCAACTTATTTTGGCTTACCTTGAAAGTTTTGTAGTTTCGATGGATTACTGTCTCTGCCCCCAATTTTCCTTTTGATTAGTAGCTTACAATAGCTGCAGCCCAATCTTGTTCTAAGCTTTTGTAATTCATGGTCAAAAAGTTGTTTCAAGCACTGTCTCGGTTATGTCCTTACGGCAGGGTTTTAGCTAAAAACAAGGGTTCATGACAAGGTGAAGAGATGGATTTGACATTTGAGGGACCCAAAGTGAGGGTGAGACATTATTTTACCAAAGGCATGCAAATTGTCGCCACTGAAAAAGCACCTAGTAAAGTGATTTTTCCCCCAAAATACATTCGCACTAGCATTGAATTTGAAAGCAACATAAATTGGCATTCTTTCAATTAAGTCACAAATGATTTAAGTATGGTCAGCTTTTTTCTATCCATGGTGGGATTCATCATGTGCAACAGAATGCAATTTCAATCATCTGAAACTTGAAAGTTGAAACTTTTAACACCCCTCCTTTTTTCCCCCATCTCCTTTTTAAGCAGTAAAAAATATTATTGATTGCATTTTGTTTAATAATAAATGCAGGAATATGGTTTATCAATATCATTTTATAGAGCTCCATATTTGGTAGACATAGATGTGGTACAAGGGCGGAGAGTTCTAAAGTTAGAGGACATAGCTGGAAATGGAAACGCCTGGCGAGTGGCAGACGTGCTGTTATTCAACACAGGCCACTGGTGGAGTCATAAAGGATCTCTCCAAGGGTAGGCAAAAAATTCTAGTATATTTCTTTTATGTTAGTGTGAAATTTTCAATTGGATATCAAATGGGATTTGTTTTTGTTTAATTGACATTGAAAAGTGTGAGGTAAATCTGGACAGGTGGGATTTGATTGAATCGGGGGGTACATATTACCAGGACATGGATCGTTTGGTTGCTTTGGAGAAAGGGCTGAGAACATGGGCCAATTGGGTTGACACCAATGTCGACAAAACCAGAACCAGAGTCTTTTTCCAGTCCATTTCCCCCACCCATTACGAGTAAGTTTCTCAACAGAACCAGAGACTCTCCCTCCATCCCTCCCTCTCTCAAATAATTGTTTGGAGTGGAGCTCTGGGCTTTGATTAAAAATTATTGTTGTGTTGGGAGTAGAAAAATATTGCGACTCCAAGCACTAAAAATTCGGTCCAATCTGAGCTGTGCTTACGGGGTGACAGAAGGGCCCCACCTTATTTCAGCATTGTCTGCTTAGGTTATCCCAACTGAAATTGATATGATTAAAGATAAAATAGGGTAAAGCCTGTGGCAACTTGCAGAAATAGTTATAATTATATATAAGCAACATACAATAAATGAAACCATACAACTTGCAGAACTTTGTTATCAGTTTCTCTGTCGGTCTGGCCTATTAATTTCGCTGCAGGGAAGAAATTGTACGGTCATTGACTTGTCAGTAGTTCCTCACTATAAACATTTGTGAACCATTATCCAAAAAGTTCAAACCTGGGAAGAAATGATGCAGGTCTGTTACCCCAGGAAAGTAATTAAATGGGACTGCATAAGAAAATCAGTGAGGAACTGTGGGTTATTCTTGTGTTATGAAAGAATTAAAAAAAAAAAAATACTACCCTTACCAAAAGTTTAGTACAAAGATCAGTGTTGGTCATCTGTTATACAAAGTGAGGGAAGATCATGGGTAATACATGAGAGATGGTTGATGTATGGAGACTACCCTCGATTTTGTTCTCAATTACAGCTTTCATGAGCTTGTCAAATTACTTTTATTGACTAGATAGTAAGAGTACTTTGTAGCTGCTGGTGAGAGGGATTTGGTAGCAAAAAATATCTACTTGAGGTATTCTGGTATTCAACAATGGTACAATAACTAATAATGTATTTAGTTGATTTTGCTGCCTTCTTTTACAACTGTAACCTCGTGAAACATTAAGGAAAGTGTCTTTTGAACCACTTTCTGTGTCGGTGGTAATTGATCCAATGCATAGAAATATCACTGTAAACGTCTGTAAAATAGCCGTCAGAGAGCACACCTTGCCAGACTGCTAATTTTCGGTGGATCATTGCCTACGTGTCTCACAAAAAGCATGAATGAGCATATTTTTATGTTTTGATTACTCATCTGTATAAAGAAAATAGCTGCATACATTCCTAAAGCCCTCTTTGATCATGTATATACTAATTTCATCCTCCATTTAGTGTCACAATGAATACGGAATGCTAATTAGTTTGGTGCTATCCAAAATTCAATGATTTTGGTTTATTCTATTGACAGTCCAAGTGAATGGAGTGCTGGAGCAACAGTGACAACAACGAAAAACTGTTACGGGGAAACAGCGCCAATGACCGGAACTACATACCCTGGCACATACCCTGACCAGATGAGAGTGGTGGATGAAGTTATTAGGGAGATGCACTTTCCTGCATATTTGTTGGACATAACCATGCTTTCTGAGCTTAGGAAAGATGGACACCCCTCAATTTACAGTGGTGATTTAAGCCCTGCTCAGAGGGCTAACCCGGACCGGTCAGCTGATTGTAGCCATTGGTGCCTTCCTGGATTGCCAGATACTTGGAATGAACTATTTTATACTGTGTTGTTCGATTAGGCTGTATGTGGTTTACTTCATTTTATACTTAGTTACTACTAATTTGATTATAGGTTAGCAGAGGATGCAAAAATGCAATTTACTCTGTGTACCTATAGCATCTCTCTCGTCCTTTTAGTCAAAGGTTAGTGTAGCCATTGTTGTAGAGTAATACATATTGTTTCTCGAGAGAAATAAGGTATTTCGTACTTATTCTCATGATGGTAGCTTTGAGAGTGATTTGTTGCCAGTACCCATTTATCACTTTGAATGATATGGGCCAAGATGGGAGGAAGAAAAGAAAGGAGTAGGGTCTTTTTAATTTTTCTTCTATCCGTTCTGTATTTCCTTTGGTGGGCCAGTTTGAGCCATTAGATGGATAATGAGGGTTGCTCAAAAATGATGCTTGTATAGTTCCTCAAGTTAAGTCTGATATTAATTTCAAGACTCGTTAATGCTCCATTAAACTAGTAGGGACAACATGTTCTTGTCTGATTTTGTATATGTCCAAGCTGATTGACATGACAATATCGTGGGGGGCAGGCGCTTTTGCTGTGCATGTTACTATGATGCACCTGAACGGGAAAAAGAAAGGGTCATGAACTCATGATAACCAAGCAAAGACAGATTACACTGGATTTTATATTGCAACTTATAAATGGGAAAAACTGAAGCTTTTGCACGGTATATGAACAGGAAGATTCTCATTAATGATTCACTTCCATTGCAAAATATGATTACACACTTCAAAAGCGTAAGCAACAACAGGTTGGTGACAACAAAAGATGATTCCAACGATCACAAAATATTTTAGTATTGGTAAACATCGCCTATAGTATACAGCAGAGCATTCTGAAGTTTCTTGGATATTCCACAAATCCTACTCTCAGTTATTAAATTCACACATTCTGCTTTCCATTAGGCAAGCAAGCATTAACCGTGTATGGCAACTCCTGGAACTTCCACCATCCGTGGTATACTATCAATAACCTTGGATGGCACGTTGCTGAGAGGAGTCTCTCCATCGTAAGCTGAGAGATGTACCCCCAGGGCTGCCCTGCCTGAAGGATCAAGGTTGTTCTTCCAGGCAGCATCCCACTCAATAGCTTTAGCAGTGCTGCATGCTACACTAGCTCCTCCAGGGACACTCAATCTAGCCGAGTTCTGTTACACCAAGCAAAGGAGGATGATCATAACTTTAATAATCATTGCTACTTAGAATCCTAAATGTGCTCGAACTGCAAATTTTAGAAAATCACCTGTGGGAAGAACCTCTCAAAAATCATCCTGTAGTAGTATGCTTCTTTTGTAGTTGGTGTGTTGTGAGGGAAGATGAAGGAAGCATTAAGCATCATCTTGTCAGTCACCTGAATGCATGACGTGAGAATTAATCCAATGGAAATGAGATTTAATTATTAATTATAAACAATAGACCAATGAAAACAGAAAAAAAAATGAGGACAAAAGCAAAACAATTTAAAAGGAAGCACAGTAGAAAGATATTTACATGCTGGGCAGCATGGGCTTTGAGACCATCGATCCAACTATAACCAACACCATCACTAAATTGTTCTTTCTGCCTGTAAAGGATATGCTGCAGGGCATCAAACGGGACACGTTAGTTGGGTATTTACTTTATAGTTGACAAATACCAAAGACAACAAAAAATGTTAAAAAGACCTTTGGCAGATAGGGACGCTCTTCATCATCAAAGGCCCTTCTAAGAACCCACTTCTCAATGCGACCTTGATCTTTTTTTATCTGATTCGTAAAAGGGAAATGCGATTGATAAGTCTGTAAATCTCAGCCATGGAAGAACAAATCAAGTATACTTGTCTTTTTAAGAAAAAAACTCGTTTACATACCATCTTTGATTCAGGGTCTATAGACATGGCAACATTGATAAATTCTTTGTCTAAGAAGGGGACTCGAGCCTCCAATCCCCATGCAGATGTTGCTTTGTTAGCTCTCAGGCAGTCATACTGGTGAAGGGCCTTGATCTGCACAAAAGTATAAAAATAGACCAGTTTCGTTATATCCTTACATTCCAACTCCCTTGGTGAATAAAGTGCCAAGCAAGATGATCTATTACCTTGCGGCATGTTTCCCGGTGGAATTCTTCCTTATTTGGTGCCTTGTGGAAGTACAAATATCCACCAAAAATCTCGTCAGAGCCTTCACCAGAAATAACCATTTTCACTCCTAGTGACTTGATCTTTCGTGACATCAGAAACATAGGAGTGCTTGCCCTAATTGTGGTGACATCATAGGTTTCAATGTGGTAGATGACATCTTCGATGGCATCAATTCCATCCTGCCACATTAGAGAGAAATTTAGCTCGTTTTAGGATTATTAGACCTCAATTCGTGAATTAAAAGTATTACAAAATTTTCAGTCAATACTTGAACAGTGAAGTGAAACTCATGATGAACAGTGCCGAGATAGTCTGCAACCTCCCTTGCAGCCTTCAAATCTGGTGAACCCTGCAGACAAATCGAGAAACAAGTTTTGAGGACCAATTAAAACATTTTAAAGCTATGCTTTAAGGTTTCATATTATACTAGTACGACTTACCTCTAGACCAACACAGAAAGAATGGAGCTGACTTCCCCAATGTTTGGCAGCCTTGGTACCAGCCAAGTACCGAGCTGTGATAGAAGCAACCAATGATGAATCAAGGCCTCCAGATAGCAGAACTCCGAAAGGCACATCAGTCATCAGCCTTTTGGTCACAGCCTGTAAAGAAAAACAAAAGGTTTCTTTGCTTAGTCTTCTAGTAAGTGTCAAATGTTTCTCAGACTGCAATTTATCAATCTTACATTTTCAAATGCACGTCTGAGAACAAGGGGGTCATATGGAACTGATGGAATGGCCTCAGAGAACCAAGGTGGGTTGTACCACCTCCTAAATCCTCCTGATTTGCTAGAGTACAAATGACCAGGAGGAAAGCTTTCAAAATGTTCACAATCATCATTCAATCCTTTCAATTCTGATGCCATCCAAACCGAACCTGAATATAACGAGTAGAAAATAATTTAGCAAACAGCAATTTCACCCAAATTTAGACAGCTAGAAATCCATTCACAATAACTGACAAAGCAAGATTTAGTACCATCAAGCCCCCAACCAATATAGAGGGAGGTGACTCCAATAGCATCACGTGCAACAATGAAGCTGCTGTCACGGGTATCCAGCAGGACAAATGAGAAGATTCCATCCAACATGTCCACAAAGTCTTCCCCATACTCCTCATACTATCATGTAGTATAAGTTTGAGCAACAATTTTAAATTTATTAGAGCAAGAATTCACAAAATAAACTAAAAAATTCAGACGCAAAAATCAACTCTATCCAATAATATGCTAGACTTACCAGATGAGCAATAACATCACAATCACTGCCAGTCCTGAACTTGTGGTTTACCAACTTCCTCCTCAGTTCTTCATGATTGTAAATCTCTCCATTCACCTGGTTTTCAGCACATTTTTTTCCTCCATTAGCAATTTTACTTGTCATGAAATAACATTATTCATGCAATCCAATTTTGAATAATTGAATTCGAAACTTACCGAATAAAAACAATAATGATCAACAACTATACATAAATTACAATTATACCATATTCCAATTCCAAGACATTATTAGCCCTTAAAAGTTTGCAAAGTTACAAGTACCAAAATCTTTGGTTTTTTCACGTAAGGCATATAGGGCCAGTTCTCGACTAGGCCAAGTCATCATATAGGCTAAAAAGGCAAAAAATACTAAAACAAGAGAAGCCTGGACGCCTACCGTAACAGCAACACTTTTGTCTTCATTAAAGAGAGGTTGGTCACCGGAAGCAGGATCTATGATGGCAAGGCGTTGATGTGCCAAATAGCAGTCTCCATGTTGGTAGAGCCCACTCCAGTCAGGACCACGGTGCTTCAGCCTGTTCATACATCATCAAGTAGTAGCTATTTCAGCTGATAATTTCTCTATTATTACTATTGGTTTCACCAGATAATTGTTAAATTATGGCCCACACCCCACGTGGATAATCACTAACCCTAATGAAATTTTTCGTATTAAGCCTATTATCTTAACTATCTGATTGAATTTGCATCTTAAAACATGGACTCTCCCACTGCTTTTTTTTCTTTCTTTTCTTTCGTTTCAAAGTTGCAAAGTCACTGTTTCTTTCGACATAGCTTGGGCTCCTGCCTTCATCCCCACAGTCCATTTGCAAATTAGAAATAAAAAAAAAAGTTTCCAGTACCCTCCAAGTTGGAGATTTTCCTTTCAACATATCCACCTTAAAGATGATCAAGAATTCAAGACCAACTTTAAGATTAAACTTCATCTTAACCAAAGATGAGACTTAAAAAATATGTCCGTACTTTTAGCTGGAGCTTTCAACGTTGCTATCAATGGATTAAAATAAAAAAACCCTTAATCATCCTGCTTTTTTTTTCTTTATTTTTGATAAACATCAAAGTAAAATCTAAGATTTAACATATAAGCATCATCATATATTAAAACGTACACGACAAATTCAGAAAAATTATAAAACAAAAATAATATTGATATCATATTAAACCTGTTTGACAGCCCTAAACCTTTTGAAAGACACAAAATAACATCAAAATTAGCTAAAAGAAAAGACCCCAAAAAAAGAAAAAAGTAGGAAAGAAAAAGATTATTTGCCTGCGGGAAAGCTCCAACACTCGAACCCTTTTTGCTTGAGAATCATCAGAACAACCCAAAACCGCTAAAATCCCACACATTTTCTTTCTACAATAAACACTGCAAGACAACCTTTTTTTTCTTTTTCCTTTTTTTTTCAAGAACAAGAATTTTAAATTAAATTAAAGGATAAGATAAAGAAACCAAGATTTTCGCTGAGAAACGAAACAGAGAGAACAGTGGAGTGCAAACAGGGGAAGGCAACACGTAGCTGTGTTTTTTAAGTTCTTCAAACCCACAAATTTATAGTTGCAAAATTTCTGGTGCACCCTTCGTATGTTCCTCCCGTTTCGTCACTTCTTTAGGACCCACCTCTCACCTCTCGCCACGTGGTCTCAAGTGGTTGGTTATTAGCTTTTCTGTCCGAGTGTTCCACCAGTTTTAACAGCGAGTGCTTTATCCATTTCCATTGCTGATTCAGCACCCGGAATGGTCAAAAGTCAAAATCATTGTACCATCTCTCAACGTCCACGTGTCATCTACAAACTGAGCCTTATAGCTAATATGGCTTTTCATTTTTGTAAGGCTTAAAATGCCCCAGCCTAAATTATATTAATTTTTTTAATATAATATATAATATGTGATTTTAAAAATATATAATATAATATTTAATTATAAATTTATTAATTAATATGATATATATTTATTGTTAATATTATTAATTTTAAATGATGATACATATCAAATAAATAATTTTTTAAACATTACATTAAATAATAAATTTATAATTTAATTATCATATAAAATATTTTTAAAATTCATATATAATATTAAATATTTTAATATAATCTAAATTTTTGACATTACAACTCAAGACGTTGATTCGTCTGACTTATCAAAACGTATCTTCACAATCCATTATA